GTGTTAGTCCGCAATTTGGATTTCTTCTAGAGAGCAACACACTTTGGGGGTGTCCCACAGGTAATCCCTTTTCCATCGGATCTGGAGTGTCAGGGTAACTCACAGGCTTTACAGATCAAATGCTATAAATTCCGTGGAAGTGAACCCCCTTTTTTCCCTATAGAGAAAACACTAAATTAAAAAGTTCAGATCTCCAAACTCTCAAAATTGGAAAGTTTCAAAGTTGGGTATACTCATCAGGCAACTCCTAAGGCTAAAGTCACAAAAGAAATTTCCTTTCCTGTGTTTAGAAGGCTACCTAGTTCAAAATCACTCTTCTACATAGTATTTTGCAGTTAATGAACACACCTGTATTTTGATAGAAACTCTGTGCTGTCTGTTGGGCTAAAAGAACCATTTCCCATAAGCAGTCATTTCCAGTTCCTGAAATGGGAGAGGTGCGGGTGGAGTGAGGTTATGTGTGGGAATACACACTTCCCTCTGTCCCAGACCAGGTATCCTTTTACTTCATGCTGGTATGTTTCGTAACAGGAGAAGGTGAAAAGGAAGCCCTAACAGGAACAAGCTGCTCTATTGGTTCATTTTCATAGAAATCACAAAGGAGCAGCTTGCCAACAAGAATTCTCTTGGAAGCATCCTCTTGGAGGCAGCCCCAGTCACTGAGAGCTAATCAGTTTTGGGTCCTCTTAGCAAGGGACCACTCTCTTGTTTACACTGTTCATGGGAAGGTGTATTTCAAATCCCTCTAAACAAAAATGAATTAAGTTGATTGGTGAATTATTCAAATTAACCATGGATTCCTTTGATCAATGTCCCTTAAGGAGACTTTGTCCATTTTGTTAAAACCTCATGTAGTAGCTATGGAGAATGACCACACTTTGTTATAACCAGAGCTTTAGTTAGTGAGGTCTCAGACAATCTTAGATCAGGTTTTGGAGGATGTTCTTAACTTTTCTGCAGAGAGATTAAATCATTACGGGCAAAATAAATGATGAAGAGGAACTAAACTACATTAGAATAAAATAAGAATTTGCTTTCCTCAAGTTAATGAAGATGAAGAAAGATAAAAACAAAACAAGATCAAAGTCTATTATACAACTTTGTCAAAGGCTGTTTAGGCCATTTGTCCATAACAAATACACCCATGGTTCTTCCACAAACACAAACCTCCTTGAAAATCCAATAAAAATATAACGGGACAAATGTTATTGAATTTATTTGGATCAGTAGCTGCACATTTTCCTGGCTGCGAAAAGAGTAAGTGATGTTTCATCCTTCCTCTCCTCATTTCATCTTAAATTCTATTTGGGCAAAATGGGGTGGGAAGGTACTATAAGCCTGCTATTACTTTAAGGAATGGTAATGCCCATCCTACTCTACTCCCCCAAATAGCCACTCCCGTTTGTAGTCTAGTTCACCTGAATGTGGATGACTACCACTCTCCTCAAGGTTCTAGGGATAACTCTGAGGGCCTAGAGTGTCTAATAATTTTGCTCATGAATACCGACTAAGGTGCACCCCATTATCCATTGACTAATTGAAGTCCTTTAGCTTTTACAAAAAAGGATGTGCTGAAAAAGGCATAGAAAGAAAAACAGTTACTAAAGTAATCCTTTCCATTACTGGGATGCACTTTTCCATAGTACACATATGTTTCCTAGGGAGAATGGGCTCTGAGTAAAAATGGTAATGAGGCACATGTGTAGAAAATGCATGTGGTGAAAAAAGGAGATTCTGATTGCAGACTCCAGGAATCATTTTCTCATTTTTGTGGAGTCCACATGAAGTTCATCTTGTATGTGTCTCTCTGCTGGTCTTCAAGGATAGAGGACATTCTAGAGTTCATATCTGGCACCTCTTTCTGTCATGAGGAATCACAATCCCTTGAACTTCCTGCTGCCCTTGGATGGCTATCTTTCCATATCTCTCTACAGGTTGCAGGTTTACTCTGTTATCAGCTACTACTATCCAGCAGCCTCTGCTACTGCCTCCACTCAACAATGGGGCCTCTCCTGCCTGCAGCTCAATAAAACTTCCCTCACTTATCACCAGGAAGGATAATGACTGAGAGATTGGTGAGTCATCCTTTCTATATGTGTATTCAGTTCCTGTTCCATATCTTTTGAGTTACAGGTTTTTCTAGGTCTGTAGCCAATGAGAATAATTTGCTATCATAGCGTCAGCTTCTGTTACCCACAGCTTTTGTTGCTGTTCAGTTATGTCCAACTCTTCATGACCCCATTTGGGGTTTTTTTGGCAGAGATACTGGAGTGGTTTGCCATCTCCTTCTCCAGTTCATTTTACAAATGAGGAAACTAAGGCAAATAGGAATAAGTGATTTGCCCAGGGTCACACAGCTAGTAAGTGTCTGAGGACATATTTGAACTCAGGAAAATTAGTCTTTCTTATTCCAGGCCCAGTACTCTGTCTAATATAGAGTACTATATTAGATAGTACTTAGATATATCACCTAGCTGCCCAGTCACCCATAGATAGAAACATGCTTTGGAAGTTCCACATGTTGGATTAGAACAGGCAGAGAACACATGCACATGCTTTGTGTTACCAGCTCAGTAGGAATTGCAAATCTCTTCATATTCTAAGGACTGAATCTTCATTGACCAGTACCCACATTACACAAGTTTGGCTTTCCTTACTCTTTTTACCATCCCTCTCTCTTAGTTGGGGAAATATCAATTTAGTAAATATTGAGGAAGGAAACCGACCGCTAGCTTTTGATGGGGTACTTTTTTGGCCACTTTTAGACTAACCCAATAAATCCGATCATATGAAATCATAGGAAGGGACCTTAGAAACCATCTATTCCAGCTCCTTAAAATAAACAGGCCCAGAAAAGTTTAAATGACTTACTGACCCAGGTCATAAGGAAGTAAATAGTAGAGCCAAGTTTTAACCTATCTTCAGACTCCAAATCCAGAACTCTTTTCCTATACCACACTACTCTGTTGACTTTTGTTTCAAAGCTTGGTGAGTAAATATAAGCTTTAAACAGGAGTAATATTTCAAAAGAACCAGCTATTTATTAAATATTGTGATCTTAAAGCAAAAGGACTAAAAAATACATTCTTAAATGGCATGAAAAGAATGGTCAGTTGGCATTAACCCCTCCCCACTTTATTAAAGTCATATGAACTAGTTGTATCCTATATAAGGGAAAAAGTCAGAAATTCCTAAGATCAAATATACAGCTTATCTGATCATCATATAGTCTCTTTAGAAAGGTTTATAACAACTAGCAGCTGACCTAGATAGTTTCTACTTTATCTTGAATTAGTCTCTAACATGGAAAAGTACAAGGTTTTTCAAGTTTCCTACTTGTGTTGCTTCCTCAAAGAGGAATTGTGGTCCAGAGCACCCAGAGATATGACATTCTTGTAATTAACAGATAGACTTAAGAGAGTAGAAGATATTAAGATCATCATGTAATAATATTTCATCTCCATCATTTTCACCCTCCAGGTGGATTTCCAGGAGAAAAGCTCAAAGCTTTGTCACTATTGAATGTCCTTTATTACATTATGCTTTTTTTCTTACTGTTTCGATATTGAGATAATTCTTTCAGTACAGGGCTGGGCTTCTTTTGTACTGTACCTGAAACATGATAAGTGTAGTCAGATAAGGAATAAACTTATTTTTCATGGTAAAAATCCCTTTAGCTTTTTTATGACTATTACCAGAGAAAAATTAATGAAAAATTTCTCCAGGGGTAGTTGTCACAGCAGTAATTATGTTAATTTAGGTGTTGTACTGTTTATTTAATATGAGTTTTCTTCAGGAATTTTTCCCCTTATATTTCACCCAGGGTTGATCTACTTTCTTTGATTCCTCCCACCTCTTTAAATTATCAGGTGCAAATTATGAAATTATGGTTCACAGAAATCAGTGATGCTTCTGTGTTTTCCGAATTCCCCAGTGTGTGCACTTCAAACCTCCCTCCAATATGCACGGAAAAATGTAATTGTGTGTATGTATGTATGTATGTATGTATGTATGTATGTGGTTTTCTATTTCACATAGGCTTGATTTACAGTTTACTGCACAGAGGAAGATACGGGCTAGGAAAGCTTAGAACAATTGTAAAGCTGAGGTATAAAATTGAGGGTGGGTGAGATCTCTGCAACGTGGAAGGACAGTAAGATTATAATTAAATGTGTTAAACTGTGCCCTGAATTCTAGGGGACACAACAATGCCTGGGAGAGACGGAGGAGGGTGGTGCGGATACATTGAGGGTGGGATGCAAACAGCACATTGCTGAGGCTTTCACACTCATGACCTTCTCAGTTCACCGGAGCTATAGTCCAAAGCAATCAGGTCACTCGATTTTTACCTAGTACGAGATGGTTAAGCAAACACCGCCGCCTCCACTTTGACAGTGGCTCTGCGGGCGGGCGATGCGTGCTAGGAGTGCAGCGCAGCTCAGCCCAGTCCAGCCTGCAAACTGGTGCCTTCTTTCCGGGGCTACCCGGACGGCAGTCAACGGTGGAAGAATGAGCTCTAGGTCATAGACATATAGACGCACTTGTGATCTTAATTGGGGGAGGGCGTTTGCTTGACACTAACACCAAGCCTCAGAGACAATTGCTCTGTGTGTGTGTGTGTGTGTGTGTGTGTGTGTGTGTGTGTGTGTGTGTGTAAACACGCTCCAGCAAAGGGGAGGGGGTGGGGGGGGAATCCAGTGCTGTTCGGCTTCCCGGCCCGGCTACCACAGCTCGCTCCATTCCCGCTGAGGACATCGCCTTAGCATCAGGAACTGAGCCCAGGAAGCCCCCGGCCTGTGCATTGCCTGGGAGAACCCGAGGGGCGGGAGAGGAGGAGGTGGAGGAGGAGGAGGAGATCGAGCATCCTTCTCGACCCTCCTCCTCCCCCTTCTCCCCCTTCTCCTCCTCAAAACCCCCCCTCCCCGGGCGCTTTCCGCGCACTTCCCCCCACCCCCGGCTTGCGCTCTCCTACCCCCCATCCTCTCCCCAGATCCCTCCTCTCGTTCTCCTCCCATTCTGCTCCTTCCTCCTCCCACAGTAGCTGCTGCTTCCCAGGCGCTCGGAGATGGGCAGCGAGAGCGCGCGTAGCAGCAGCACCAGCTCCGGGGCCGCCGCCGCTGATCTTCTCTTCCTTCGGGGCTGGACCGCGCGCCTTCCTCAGCACGCCGCCGCCACGCAGCCCTCGGTCTCCGGGTCAATGGCGCTATCCCCCTAGGATGGGTGAGTACTCTGGAAGGCGCAGCGGGTAACGCGGGAGGCTAGGAGGACAGGAGAGCTTGCCCTTGGCTCCAGGAAGGGGTTTCAGGGCATCTCTTAAACCACCTGCTGGGCCCACCTCCGCGCCTGGGAGAAGGCGTTGGGGCGTCCTAGTGCTCCTGGGGCGCGCAGCTCCCTAGCTGTTTGTGGGGGGGGGGAAGAGAGATTCTGCTTGCACTTCACCTGTCAGCTACCACAAACATTTTGCACGTCTTTAGTTGTGGAAACAGGCGCGAGGCTGTTGGTGCTTCAGCTGCCTTGCCCGCGGTTCTTTCCCGCCCCTGAGACCCTCGCTTCCCAGCCTGGAAGGGACTCTCCCGCCAGCCTAGAGCTAGGCTGACCCAGTGCTCTTAACTGCCCCCGCATCACTCCACACCAGGGGAGAGGACAGACTTAAAGCATCTTCCAGAGCTAGGCTGCCACTTAACTCCCCATCCCACATCTCGCCTTGTATCCCACTTTTTTCAGTGAACCTGCCCCTCACCCACCTTTGTCAACCTTTCTAAAAAAATAAAATCCTTTGAAGCGGTCCCCTCTGTTAAGCCTAGTTCTTTTACCACTGAAAATTGGGCTCCCCCAGCTCTGTCTTCAGACTTACCTCACCCCTTTTATACAAAGTCTCTTTCCGCCTTTTCTGATATTCACCTGCAGGAAATTGACAAGAACGCATAGCCAATGATCCTCTCTGTATATTTACTTTATATAGAGCTTAGTACTTGGACTTTTAGGCTTGGGTCAAACATAAGGAAAATAGTATTGTCTATTTAAATTTTAAAAGAGTATTTGAATTGGTTGTTTATTTTAGCCTACTAATTTATTTGGGGGGATGTTTAAGCTTAGTGCAACACATTTTTCTTCACAATGAGAGGAGTCCCAGTTTCCCAGCTCAGATGTAGAGACAATCAGTGTGGCCGAACTATGGCTTTCTTTCTTCTTGTGTAGCACAATTGAGTGTTACATGGACTCACCAATACTATTCCAAAGATAAAATGTTCTTTCCTGGGACAGCAGACTAGACAAAACGGCAACTTGAAAGGCTACCTTAAGAACTGAAAACAGACTTTTGGCTTAATGACAGAGAGAGGTAGGAAATATCGGAAAATGTAGTGAGTACTCTTCTTCCTTCTGCCTGTGAGGCTGGGTGTTGTGTAGTAACTCTGCGTCTCAACAGTTTTATCTGTGGAAGTGTTGTTATGGCAGCAGCCTTTATTCCTAAAACCATGTACAACGTTTCTCTATTTCTAGTCGGTTTGAGGGGAAAATAGGGAGTTGTGTTCATTGAATGAATATGATCGAGGAGGTGGGGGTGGAGTGGGGGGGGTTGGAAGAAAGACCAACATTTTAATGACAAAACTTATATTCCCTATTTCCCCATACTCCCATATTAGTGCTTAGATTTTTTTGAAAAAAGACAACAGTGTTAATTATAAACGTGTATTTTAACTTCTCTGACAAGTGATTTATGTGGATTAATTCAGCTTGGCTTTTAGAACTTTTAAAGAAAACCTTTGGGCAAAGTGCTTTTTTTTTCTTTTGGACTACAGGAATACTTAAATTTCTATATTTGTATCATAAACAGTAGAAATCATAATACTTTAAAAATAAATGTTCATTATTCCTACAGGTGTCTAATCCATTGAACACACATTCATTAAATACCTACTATGTACAGTGCTCTATGCTAGTGCCTGACTATAATTGGGTAGGTACAGATGGCTGGATGATGGACTGATGGATGGATAGATAGATAGATGGATGGATAGACAGATAGATGGACAGACAGCCATGCACATATCTACATCTTGATATCTATATATTGATGTGTATGTATGCATGGAGTTTGGGGAGAGCAAGCATCATTACTCTTTCAAATTGGTGAAGATAAACAGCCAAGCTCTAACCAGCATAGAATGGAAAGGGGAGAGCTGGGAGATTATCCCCTGGAATTGTCCAATACAGAAAGCCCCAAATCTCTTTCCCCAAAATCATGGTGGGACCTGGGGATTTTTTTTTAACTCAATTTGCCAGGTAACTCGAAGTGTTTTTCATTTTGCCTGTTTAGTTGGAGGCAAAGACCAGTGGTTGTTATGGAGATGCAATGAGTCAGGCATTAGAAGGGGGGTCCTTTTAATGTAAATGTGGACAGCTGCAACCAAAGTCAATAGGGACTGTGGCTAATGATTCTATGCATGAAGTTATTAAACGACATGAGGAATTTGTGTTTAAATTTAGTGTGGGGTTAGGCAAAACATTGAAGATTGACATGTAATCCTTAATTATTTATCTTTACATAATATTTATAGACTACGAACTTTGTGTTTCCAAAAGGAACACAAAGATATGTATGTAGCAGCTATGTCTGAAACTGTTGCAGATGATTGGTTTTTGAATCATTTCCATTGCTTTTTCTCTGGGAAACAGAAAAATAATTAATATGTGTACATGTCCACAAAGAAAGAATACGACATGCATTGAAAAGGGTACATAAACATGTATAGGCAATAAGGAAATAGTCATTATTTTTGGTCTCTTATTGTCTGTTGTAATGTTTACACAGCCTAATACAAGTAGAATTAATCAAATGACAAAAAAGATAAACTAGAAAATATTGTAAATGCTGAGAGAAATGTTCTTAAGAATCTTTTGAGTGAGGATGGTGGTAACAGTGGTGATTAAAATAAAATTCTTAAGTATTACCTGAATCCTACTTCAGACTATGGGTAATTTTCTCTACATTATGGTAGAAATTTATTTTGGAATTCTAGGTGAACTGGAATTTAGTAAGAAGTTACTTTATGTGGTTTTAGTTTTATTGATGATTTCCATAACAGTTATTGAAATGAAGGGGGAAAAAACAAGCAACAGAATTTAAGAATGGAACTTGAATGTCTAATACCACTAGACTGAACCTTATAGCAGGTAAGATACCTGCCACCTTAAGAACATGTGTGCGTGAAGACTACGGTTCATTAGGAATAGGAAATTGAAAATGAAGATGGGTATCCAAATAATTTTGACTAAGAAATGACTTTTGTTTTAAATAGTAAGACATTTAAAGTTTCCACTTTCTTATTGTGGAACTGTCCCTTAGCAGTGGTATTAGTACATCACATGTGAATGATGAAACCTTGGTTTATTGAATCTCAGATATTTTCAAACTTAGGTTTTAAGAAATGGTTTTACCATTTCAGTTAGAGCAGGAAATAATGGCTTTTCTTTTCTAAAGGAGTTATTTTATTCGGTAAAACATAGGAATTCTATACTGTCAACCTGAGATAAAGAATACTACCAAAGTAGCGAAAACTAGGATCTTTAATGGAGGCAATCTGGGGCCACCACGCAGTACCAAAGTATTGGAATGGCCAAGAGGGGTAGAGGGAAGCAGGGTTAAATACACTTCAACACTGAGGGAGTCTCATGGGAAACACAGCCTCAGGGAAGCTGCCATGCAAGTTGTTTTTAAGAGCTGAAAGTCCGCAGAGAAGGCTAGGGGAGGTTGGGGAGTGGTAACATCTGGTCCGAACTGGGGCTCCTTTCTTTTTTTTAGCTGGTTTCAAGAGTTCCCTTTTAACTGGTTTTGATTGCCCTCAGGCAGTTAGAAGCTCTGGGAGCAGGTAAGATCAGTTCCAAGTCAGCTGCATTCAACAATACAAAGCATTTCTTAATTCAAACTAATTGACAAATTAAATCAAATAAATTAGAACAACCAAATAAAAACAAAACCTTGAAAGAAGAAAAATGCAAATATCCAACCCTAAAATTAAAGCACTGGAGAGTGAGCCAAGAGTGTGGCATATAACTAAGTAATTTAGTGTTTCATGAAGACAGAAAGATTCAGTCCTCTGATAACCATTTAAGATGTTTTCATAGCTACGGTTATTTCTCATTTTTCTATTTGCATTAGAGATATTTTTGTTTGATATTTGCATGGCTATTTACATTTTTATTTTAAAGTTCATAAAAGATGCTCTACAACAACAAAATTTCTAGGACTTATTTCATAGTTGAAAAAAAGTTACCCTCCGCAGTTGACCTCAGAAATGTAAAGTTATTATACAATTATTTGCAGTATGACTTTGCTGTATTTCTTCCTGGTATTTGGTGTGCTAGGGCTTTCTATATCTCAAAAAAACAAAAACAAAACAAAACAACCCCCCAAAATCCTTCATTAAGAGCAAATATGCAAATGAACATTCAAAAGAAACATTGTTTTCTCTCACTGAAGAGTCAAAATAATGTTGTTTAAGTGATAAACTCGTACTATCAACTCAAAATTCCCATAGGGTAAAATTGCATTAAAAACATGCATGAGTTTTGAAGCTATCCTTGGATTTTGGAATTCACATTTATTTTGCAATAAAGTAGAATATCTGAATATTTTTCTGGTAATAGAACATTCTCATTGTATGTATCTTGGAGCAGGAAAGGACTTTAGAGATTAATTGATTTAATCCCACTATTTTATAGAGGAAAAAACCAAGGTCCAGATAATTTAAATTATTTACCAGAGTAATGCTACTAGTTAGTTATGGGCCAGGATGAGAAGGCCCAGGTGTCCAAATTTCTTGTCCAGTACTCTTTTTATTAATCAACACTGTATACCTTGTTATAGGGGGGGAAATTAGCTCTTCTGTTCTTCCTTCAGGGAACATCACGCTTGAAAAAGAATGTACCTCCACTTGTGAGTTGTAAAAGTAAAACTTGAATATACGATACATCTCTAGTCAGAATGCATTGCTTCACGTGAAGGAAACGCTTCATATAAAGGTGATAGAAAAGGGGGACAAGGTATAATGGAGTACTGGGGAAGGTCTTTCTGAATCTGTTTTTCTGTTTTTGTTTTGTTTTTTGGTTTTAGGAAATTGGGGTTAAGTGACTTGCCCAGGGTCACACAGCTAGTGTCAAGTGTTTGGTCTGAGGCTGGATTTGAACCCAGGTTCTCCTGACTTCAGGGCCGGCACTCT